CAATGCCTGGCGATTATGGACATTCTGAACATATATTGCTATGCTACATGCCAATTGATTAATTTGAACAAGTCAGGAGTGACTTTAGTAGGAACACTCCTTTACGTCTACAGCAGGAGCTTGCTACGTGTCTAAGAGTTCCCCTGCTTCACACTTCTGGGAAATATTTAGGCTTGCCAACTGAGTGGGGGAGGTCCAAGAAGAAAACCTTGGAGTGGATTAAGGAAAGAATTCTAAGTAAGATAGCTGGATGAAAAGAAAAACTGCTCAATCATGCTGGAAGATAGGTGCTTATCAAAACAGTGGTGCAGGCAATTCCTAACTTTGCTATGTCTATTTTTAAGTTTCCAAAGGCGTTTTGTCAAGACATCACAACAAGAGTCAAAAGCTTCTGGTGGAGTAAGCCTATAGGTGAGAGGGGAATTCATTGGACTAGATGGGAAACATTGACAGGAGAAAACAAGATGGAGGACTTGGCTTCAAAAATCTGGAACAATCCAATATTGCAATGCTAGCAAAGCAAGCATGGAGGCTCCTTCAAAGTCCAGATTATATGTGGGCCCAGTTGTTAAAGGCAAAATATTTTCCTTCATATTCCTTTTGGCAGGCAACACCTAGAAACTCAAGCTCATGGGTGTGGAGAAGCATTCTAGAAGGGAAAGACTNTAGATTATATGTGGGCCCAGTTGTTAAAGGCAAAATATTTTCCTTCATATTCCTTTTGGCAGACAACACCTAGAAACTCAAGCTCATGGGTGTGGAGAAGCATTCTAGAAGGGAAAGACTTAATTAAAGCAGGCTAAATATGGCAAATATGAGATGGAAGTATAGTTAACTGCTAGGAAGATGCTTGGGTTCCAGGACATAGAACTATACAAAGATCCCAACAAAGTAATGTTCAAAGGGTCCAAGAACTCATTAATTTTCCAAACAAGAGGTGGAACCATGAAGCAGTTGAGGCCAATTTCACATCAGAAAATGCTCAAGAGATCCTTGCAATCTCTTTAAGTGAATGCCCTCAGGAGGATAAGATAAGATGGGCTTATACAAACAATGAGATATATTCAGTAAAGAGTGGACACCATTTGCGAGCCAATGGAGTAAAGATATCCCAAGCTAGTACAAAGGCATCCTCTTCCTATCAAGACCTGAAAACTTATGGAAAAGTCTTTGGAGAACTCAAGTCCCCCCCAAAATACAGTCTTTTATGTGGAAAGTTGCAAATGGGGCCTTACCATCTAAATGGGGTTTATGGAGAAATAAAGTTTCTAATACTCCCATTTGCCCAGTTTGTGGGAAAGAGGAAGAGACAATCGAACATCTTCTATTATTATGCCCGTGGGCTAAAGATGTATGGGAGAGGTGCTCTTTATCTATTAGGATTGCTAGATATGAGGTGAGTAGAATAGAGAATTGGTTGATGAGCAAACTGCAAATGATGAAAGGTAGAGATGAAGGAGAAAAAGGAGGGCCAAGCTATCCTAGTTTACTTGTGCTAGTTCATATGAAAAGCAAGGAAAAGTTGCTTTAACAGAGCTGTGCAGGCTGTGGAAAAATTGAAGGGTAGCTAGGTGACAAGGACAGATACTAGTATTTCTTCGATATTTGTAGGTACTGCTTGGCAACCACCACCTGCTGGAGTGATAAAAATTAACTGTGATGGAGCTTTGCTCCAAGAGACAAAATATGGAGCATTTTCTATTTTGATATGTGACCATGAAGGACGTTATATCTTAAGCGAGGCTCAAAGGCTGGCGGCATCATCCACTTTGGTTATCGAGGCCCATGCAGTTAGGAGAGCATGTAAGTTAGCAGTGGAGCAAAGGTATGGTAGAATAGTTATTGAATCTGACTCGAAGCAACTCATTGACTCCCTGCATAGAGGTTGTGGGGATTGTCAAAGGGAGATTGCACCTATTCAGCAAGATATCAGGAACTATGCGATACTGGCTCCTTCCATTGAGTTTCATGCGGTAAGAAGAGTTCAAAACAAGGCGACTCATTGTTTGGCAGCTCATGCCAAAAATAGTTCTGTCCGTTTTCAAGGGATGGATGTTGCACTAAGATTTTTGATGGGTATCATTAGGCAAGAAGCCAGAGTTGGAATAGGTTGAGTGCAAGAGTTTGTAATGGCTGTTGAGTTATGTTTTGATTAGTTAATAAAATTATACTTTCTTAACCAAAAAAAAAACCTTTAAGTCCTTACAAACCGTTTGAATTTAAAAAAAAATCTAAAAAATTTATAAAAAATCTTACAATCCATCACAAATATTTTATTCTCCATTCACCATTGACTAACTTTTACAAGCAGTCAAAAATTTCTCTTCTCCATTTAGCCATTGAAGGTTCAAAGTTTTCTTTTGTTATTATTATTATTATTATTTTTTGCTGAATTTCATTTGTTTCATAAGCATTTCACATAGAGTAGGGAGTCTGAACACAACGAATTTTGTAGTCCGGAAGGTTCAAAGTTTTCTTTTGTTATTATTATTATTGCTGAAATTNGTAGTCCGGAAGGTTCAAAGTTTTCTTTTGTTATTATTATTATTGCTGAAATTTGGAGATTTTGCTTCTTCTTTTTTATTTTATAAAATCTATACACAGAGATTTTATAGTCATTTGTTTCAGTAACACCGTTATAATCTCAAAAAAAAAATCTAGAATTTGATATATGATATGCAAAAAAATGTTTTTCTTATTTGTTTGTATGTTCATGTTGTTGGTTTGATGTTTCAATTCATTTAATTATTCAATTGATGCTTATTATATTTTTGGTATTTCATTTTGTCACTATGTGGTGTCTCTCTATGAACATAAAGTAGCTGTTTGTTGTAGCTTGTAATGGAAAAACAGTGAAATCAATTAGTCACTCTATGGTATCTCTCTATAAACACAAATCATTGTTGTGTTTAATCTCAATGTGATAATCTTAAAGTGTGACAACAAAGAGTAAATTGACATATAATAGGCAAAAATTAAAGGTTTGAACTCAATTCACAAATTTAACCTAATAGTGTGACAACAAATAGTGAATCGACATATAACTCCCAAAAAATAAAAATTAGTACTCAAATCAAAAGGCTAACCTAATTGTTTGACACCACATATTGAATCCACACTTAACACGGAAATTATGAAAATTAGTACTCAATTCAATAAACTAATGTGATAGTGTGACAACAAATATTGAATCCACACATAAATACAAAAAATTAAAAATTGGTACTCAATTCATAAAGCTAGAGTAAGAGTGTGATAACAAAGAATGAATACACGATTAACAAGAACTATAAAATTTAGTACTTAATTTATCAAAAAGATAGTATAATAATAGTGTGATAGTAAATAGTGAATCCTCAAATAACTCCAAACAATTAAAAATTGGTATTCAATTCACAATGTTAGGTTAAAAATGTTACAATAAAGAGTGAATCCACACACAAATATCCAAAATACGAAAAATTGTACTCAATTCTTATAGTTTACAAAAATAGCATGACAATAAAGAGTGAATTCACTCGTAAATCCAAAATCTTCAAATCGTTACTCACTACATATAGTTTATAAATAAAGTGTCAACCATAAATGAATCCATACATTACCCAAAAATTTGAAAATTTATACAAATTAAATTTTCAAATTTGCAATGGAGTGACTTAATAGTGTGACACTATATAGAAACTTAATGTAAATGATAAAACTTTGCTAGCATAAAATTACAGTTTTAAAATACATTTGATTTATCGTAAAAAATAACGAATTTCATAATTGCCAATACAAATAGGGTTTTTGTATTATAAGTTTTGCAAGCAAAATAAATAAATAAATAACAAATATAATCCTTACAGTTGATTGTCAACGCTAACAGAGTAAAACTGACTTTCTTTTCTACTTATAGAAAAAAAACGACGTTCATTGATTCTGAATAGAAACCTTAAATCAATGTATTAGAGCAATTCTTTTGTTCTACAAAAAACTGCAAAGAATATAGGATTTCCGTAATTTCTGCAACAATGTAACCTATTGGGTTCCAATATTTGATGACTCGATTTATCTCCTTGAATCGTGTGGAGGAATTCCATATTTGAAGGATAGTGAGGAATGAATTGGTTACACTTCTTATTTTGTGGAGGCATTCTCCATACATACACAAGGTGATTAAAGCTTTGATTGATTTTTCTAATCTGGTTTTATTAATTCAATAATCATACATATATTAAGGGTATTCTAGTCCTTTTGAACCAAAATATCCCCTTGAACAAAAAGGAGTTAACTATATATTTAGCCCTTAAACTATATTGTTTAAGTCAATTAAGCCCCTCAACTTTGGTTTGTGTCAATTTAGCCCCTCAACTTATCAATGTGTGTCAATCAAGCCCTTCCATCCAATTGAGCTCTTTACTGTGACGGACAAAATGCACGCATGACTCAAGTGAGGCAAGTTCCAGGGGTAATTAAGGAAAAAAGATGTATTTTGGTGTCAAATCTTCCACAACTTCCCTCATTTACAAAGCTTCCCTCCTTTCAGTGGTTTCCTCTATTTGTGTGTTGGCGTTTGCACAAATAGAGCAATATTCAGCAAGAAAAAAAAGGGGGGAAGAATGAGAATCTTAAAATAGAGCAATATTCACATGGCTATGGTCAACAAACTGATCCAATATGGGAACATATCACATTTTCCCCGATCATGCTAGTTGTACAGCCATGTTAACTTCCTAAGCATATTCTAAATTGTGCTACTTAATAAAACAAATTTCCATGCATGAATATGAGGAAGGTTAAATCTAATATATATAATCTTAAAACCCAGTATTACACCTCCGACCACCAGAAAAGGGGAACAACATCCGAAAGGGATCAGGAACATTAGCAACCCATGCAAACTTAACACTACACCAGTATAATTAGAAACGAAGAAAATGAGATTAAGGGGGAGGAGGAAGGGGAAGGGGGTAAGACATACAAGACAGAAGTCAATTCCTGATCTTAAATCAATTGATTTAACCACTATAGCATCTTAAACTCGCAGTTTGTTTCTTCTTTTTCTTACCTTGCTTTGTCACAAGGAGCAAGATTTGAGCAAACCCAAACTTCTTTCTCTTTGTGAGGAGTTGCTTGTGACCACCATCCTTTTCACCCTTTAGAGTAATAGCATGGAGATCACCACTGGGTTTACTAAGCATTTGACCCAATGACACCTTAGGCTTCCCATTGCTTTTTTCTGTTTGCATCCCATTCTCATATTCTTTTGTTAACAACAGCTTTCTGCTCATTATTTGCCCTATCGATAGAGTTGACCTCAAAATTGGCTTTGACTCATCATTAACCAGATTCAATCCATTTGCATCTAAGACACGAGAATCTTTATGGAGGTGAGGTGGGTAGGAATTCTTGAACTTGGTAGAGTTATGTACACCATGCTCAGATTGCCACTTGCGCAGAGCCTTTTCAACTGCCAACTTCCCTCTATTTGCAGCCTCTACTCTGCTCAGAGCTTCTTCAAATGTCTTCTTGCTAATTTTGACTTTGTCCGTAGTTTCCTCTACCCGCCTTAAGATCTTTGCTTTTGACACATTAGCTTCATCAACTTCAAGCATGGGATCCATCTCTCTTCTTGGAAACTTCTTCTACCCCTCGAGCTTTGGCAGTTAAAGATGAGTATTCCTCAAATGAAAGAGTTACACCATCAGGCTTTTGCAGAAGAACTGCAGAGGAGCTCTCACTGTTTGATAGGGCATTAATCTCTACAAGAGCAACAACTTCAAAGGCTTTAGGGGCTTCCTTCATTTTTCTGGCTGCAACCAATATGATCTCAGCGGTCTCAATCCTAGTCTTTGTCTTCTCAACCAAATCTTTCTCCAACTGTCTAGCCTGTTCCTCCACTTTTGTGATATCAACCACTTCAATTTCATGCTGCCATAAACATAAAAATCCCAAAGAGTCATCTACAAAAATGAAAATAAAGGAAAAAATGAAGTACCAAGAAAAGAGAATCCAACAGTTAGAAAAGACAGATTTCCTTCTAAGGCTCCTTATATTCCATATCAAGACAAAACTTACAAAAATTCCTACGATGAGTAAACTAAGAGCAAGAATAAAAAATCAGGTGGTTCAATTCAGGGAATCAAAAACATGATAAAACACAAACAATTAAGGAAACTATGTAGCTGAGTTAAGGGATCTCAAAATCTATAAACTAACGTGTATTAAACATTCTTCTTGATAGCGACTATATATATTGAATGCATGCAAGCTAGTGCTTCATTATAAATGAGGGTGATGATTTACTTCATTTCGCAGCTACATTGTCACTAAAATTCTCATTCTTTTCCTTTTTTTTCTTGTTGAATATTGTTTTGTTTCTGCAAAACTCAGCACAAAAATAGAGGGAACCACTGAAAAGGAGGGAAACTGTGGAAGATTTAGCACCAACATACATTCTTTTCCCTTAATTACCCCTAGAACTTGTCTCACGTGAGTCATGCGTGCGTTTGTCCATCTCAATTGGATGGAAGGGTTTGATTGACACACATTGACAAGTTGAGGGGTAAAATTGATACAAACTAAAGTTGAGGGACTTAATTGACTCAAATAATATAATTTAAGGGCTAAATAGGTAATTAACAAAAAAAAATAAAAAAAGAAGCAAAAATGGTCACGAGCTAAGCAAAGCCATGCACGTTTTAGTATCCCGCGCCTCACCCACTCATTTTTGAAAACACCGATATTTTTATTTTCTCTCTCCTCAGCCGACGCTTCCCTCCANGTTCAATTCAGGGAATCAAGAACATGATAAAACACAAACAATTAAGGAAACTATGTAGCTGAGTTAAGGGATCTCAAAATCTATAAACTAACGTGTATTAAACATTCTTCTTGATAGCGACTATATATATTGGATGCATGCAAGCTAGTGCTTCATTATAAATGAGGGGGATGATTTACTTCATTTCGCAGCTACATTGTCACTAAAATTCTCATTCTTTTCCTTTTTTTCTTGTTGAATATTGTTTTGTTTCTGCAAAACCCAGCACAAAAATAGAGGGAACCATTGAAAAGGAGGGAAACTGTGGAAGATTTGGCACCAACATACATTCTTTTCCCTTAATTACCCCTAGAACTTGCCTCACGTGAGTCATGCGTGCGTTTGTCCATCTCAATTGGATGGAAGGGCTTGATTGACACACATTGACAAGTTGAGGGGTAAAATTGATACAAACTAAAGTTGAGGGACTTAATTGACTCAAATAATATAGTTTAAGGGCTAAATAGATAATTAAAAAAAATAAATAAAAAAAGAAGCAAAAAAGGTCACGAGCTAAGCAAAGCCATGCACGTTTTAGTATCCCGCGCCTCACCCACTCATTTTTGAAAACACCGATATTTTTATTTTCTCTCTCCTCAGCCGACGCTTCCCTCCATTGTCTTCCCGCCCACACCCTCTTCCTTAAAGCCCGCCCTAATTTCCCCATTCCTTCACCCCTAAACCTTCTCTCTCTCTCTCTCTCTCTCTGTGTCTTTGTTACGACATGGACCGCCGAATCAGAAGGTCATCATCAAAAGCAGAGTCAAGCTATCTCCGGTACCTCAAGCCAGGTGCTCTGGCTCAACTGAGAGACTCACGAATCAACGCCAAGACACACAGACTCGACTCGAAAGGTCAGATCTCTGTTTACCGTGCTCCTCCTTCTCATTCTCCTTTATCATCACCTGTACGGTCACCAACAGCTGTCCAAACACAGATCGATGGTTTGCCTTGCTTTTCCGGGAGGATCTACGGCGGACCACGATGCCTCCAGAGGAAGAAGCTTGTGGCCGCCAAGTCTGTGTTCTTTCTGAGCTCTAATCCTTCAAGTCCGACCTCCGACTTGCCCGATCCAATTATTGATGTGTTCGGTGCTGATATTCTTGTGGCTCATTGAATGAACTTGATCAATCAGTGATAGGACTTTTTTTCTTTATTATTACTAGATTAATTTCTATTACAGTGACAGAAAATTTTCTAGTTCATTTAATGCAGTATGAGAAAAAGAAATTCCATGCTGCTTAGGGTTCAATTTGATTTAATAAAAGCAGTAATTGCTTCAGTGTATTTGGATTGCTTTTAGTAGTTTTATCGATCTGTTTCTGAGTAACTATTTCATTTCTGTTCGGCTCCTATTAAGTTTCTGTTTAATAGNTGCTTCAGTGTATTTGGATTGCTTTTAGTAGTTTTATCGATCTGTTTCTGAGTAACTATTTCATTTCTGTTCGGCTCCTATTAAGTTTCTGTTTAATAGCTTGGCAATTGGTGAATTTTATGTCCCGTTTGATAGAGGGGATGGAAAGCAGCAAAGAAGAGAAGTAAGAGGGATACAATTTTTTTTTTTAAGGATGAAAAATAGAAATGATATATTTTTTTTTCTTTGTATTTGATCGGATGAATGAAAAATAAATTTTTTTTTTTGTTGGTGTTGACTAAAATTAAGGTGACAATTGAGTAAAATCGTGTCGTGTTAGATTCGTGTTGAGTCATGAAGAGTTTGTTTTGAATATTAGTTAAACTTAATTTAACTCATTTTATTAATTATGTTGTATCGAGTTGTGAGTTGATCATTTTATTTTTGTATCGAGTTTGAGTCGTATCATCGGGTTGAGTTTGAGTCGTGTTATCATGTTGAGTTAAAAATATTTTTTTAATTTAAAATTTTAATTTTTTAATNGAGTTTGAGTCGTGTTATCATGTTGAGTTAAAAATATTTTTTTAATTTAAAATTTTAATTTTTTAATTTTAAATTTTTTTTAAAATATATATACATATTTTACCATTGTATTTTTATATGAAATTAATATATACATAAGATATATAGACAAATAAGATACATCTCAACACAAATAATTAATTTTTCATTCAATTTCTTTTCGATTTTAGAAGGATTGATTTTTGTGAGTTAGAGTGAAAGTTAATCTATTCACTTTTTAATTTTTCTTCCTTATCAAACATAATATTTTATTTATCTCTCAACTTTCTATTTTTTTAACTTTTCATCCTCTTATTTTTTTATTGTACCAAACGGAACATTAAAGCAACTCTAATTTAACTCTCCATTTTAACTATTCAAAATACATTTAAATATTATATTCTCTATTTTAGAAAGTTATTTTTTTATAAGTTTATTCTAACCACGTTCTCTTCCAATAATTTAAAAANTTACTTCATTTCGCAGCTACATTGTCACTAAAATTCTCATTCTTTTCCTTTTTTTTCTTGTTGAATATTGTTTTGTTTCTGCAAAACTCAGCACAAAAATAGAGGGAACCACTGAAAAGGAGGGAAACTGTGGAAGATTTAGCACCAACATACATTCTTTTCCCTTAATTACCCCTAGAACTTGTCTCACGTGAGTCATGCGTGCGTTTGTCCATCTCAATTGGATGGAAGGGTTNAAAGGAGGGAAACTGTGGAAGATTTAGCACCAACATACATTCTTTTCCCTTAATTACCCCTAGAACTTGTCTCACGTGAGTCATGCGTGCGTTTGTCCATCTCAATTGGATGGAAGGGTTTGATTGACACACATTGACAAGTTGAGGGGTAAAATTGATACAAACTAAAGTTGAGGGACTTAATTGACTCAAATAATATAATTTAAGGGCTAAATAGGTAATTAACAAAAAAAAATAAAAAAAGAAGCAAAAATGGTCACGAGCTAAGCAAAGCCATGCACGTTTTAGTATCCCGCGCCTCACCCACTCATTTTTGAAAACACCGATATTTTTATTTTCTCTCTCCTCAGCCGACGCTTCCCTCCATTGTCTTCCCGCCCACACCCTCTTCCTTAAAGCCCGCCCTAATTTCCCCATTCCTTCACCCCTAAACCTTCTCTCTCTCTCTCTCTCTCTCTCTCTGTGTCTTTGTTACGACATGGACCGCCGAATCAGAAGGTCATCATCAAAAGCAGAGTCAAGCTATCTCCGGTACCTCAAGCCAGGTGCTCTGGCTCAACTGAGAGACTCACGAATCAACGCCAAGACACACAGACTCGACTCGAAAGGTCAGATCTCTGTTTACCGTGCTCCTCCTTCTCATTCTCCTTTATCATCACCTGTACGGTCACCAACAGCTGTCCAAACACAGATCGATGGTTTGCCTTGCTTTTCCGGGAGGATCTACGGCGGACCACGATGCCTCCAGAGGAAGAAGCTTGTGGCCGCCAAGTCTGTGTTCTTTCTGAGCTCTAATCCTTCAAGTCCGACCTCCGACTTGCCCGATCCAATTATTGATGTGTTCGGTGCTGATATTCTTGTGGCTCATTGAATGAACTTGATCAATCAGTGATAGGACTTTTTTTCTTTATTATTACTAGATTAATTTCTATTACAGTGACAGAAAATTTTCTAGTTCATTTAATGCAGTATGAGAAAAAGAAATTCCATGCTGCTTAGGGTTCAATTTGATTTAATAAAAGCAGTAATTGCTTCAGTGTATTTGGATTGCTTTTAGTAGTTTTATCGATCTGTTTCTGAGTAATTATTTCATTTCTGTTCGGCTCCTATTAAGTTTCTGTTTAATAGCTTGGCAATGGGTGAATTTTATGTCCCCTTTGATATAGAGGATGGAAAGCAGCAAAGAAGAGAAGTAAGAGGGATACAATTTTTTTTTTTAAGAATGAAAAATAGAAATGATATATTTTTTTTTCTTTGTGTTAGATTGGATGAATGAAAAATAATATTTTTTTTTTGTTGGTGTTGACTAAAATTAAGGTGACAATTGAGTAAAATCGTGTCGTGTTAGATTGGTATTGAGTCGTGAAGAGTTTGTTTTGAATATTAGTTAAATTTAATTTAACTCATTTTATTAATTGTGTTGTATCGAGTTGTGAGTTGATCATTTTATTTTTGTATCGAGTTCGAGTCGTATCATCGGATTGAGTTTGAGTCGTGTTATCATGTTGAGTTAAAAATATTTTTTTTAATTTAAAATTTTAATTTTTTAATTTTAAAATTTTTTAAAAATATATATACATATTTTACCATTGTATTTTTATATGAAATTAATGTATACATAAGATATATAGACAAGTAAGATACATCTCAACACAAATAATTAATTTTTCATTCATTTTCTTTTCGATTTTAGAAGGATTGATTTTGGTGAGTTAGAAAGAAAGTTAATTTATTTACTTTTTAATTTTTCTTATTTTTCTTCCTTATCAAACATAATATTTTATTTATCTCTCAATTTTCTATTTTTTCAACTTTTCATCATCTCATTTTTTTATCGTACCAAACGGAACATTAAAGCAACTCTAATTTAACTCTCTATTTTAACTATTCAAAATACATTTAAATATTATATTTTCTATTTTAAAAAGTTATTTTTTTATAAGTTTATTCTAACCACGTTCTCTTCCAATAATTTAAAAAGAATTGCAACATATATATAAAAGGGATTGCAACATATATATATATATATATATATATATAGAGAGAGAGAGAGAGAGGCTAAATGGCTCCCACATTAGAGCAATTAGTTGATAATTTTTGAGCAGCAAATGCCAAAAATTTGTGCCCTGTTTAGATTTGACTAAAAGGAAACCAAAATCAAGAATCTTACAGCTTTTTGATTTTGGGAATGTGTCAGACAATTCGGCCAGGAATAATGTGTAATTCTGCATGTGACCTGTGAGAATCTAATGTTTTGTGATGCAATGTTCTCTTCCATTAATGTAGGGGATGTTTTAGTTATATTTTCTTAGGTGTAGCAGTGAACTACATCATAGCAAGCCATTATTGACCATGTTTTTTGTGCTGTATGTCCAGTTCCTTCTTGACTTCTTGTCATTTAATCATCCATTTCCATTGCAAATATCTGTATTTATCATGTTAAAGGAAATTGACCTCTTTGGCTTTGTAACATTCAATACATTGTGTGACTGTGTTTTGGAGATGAAGTGGAGACTAGATTTTGATATTATTTAGTTTCTTGTTTGAGATTTGCCTACTTCATTTATTGAATTTTAGGTTGCCTGTTCTTACATCCATTTCCTGTTCATTTGATCTTGCTCCTAATATGATGATTTAACTGTCAAATATGGCATTAACCACAAATGTTGTTTCCTTTAGGAATTATTGCTATTTTTGAACAAAAGTTGATCAGTTTCTATGGTTCGTTAGTACAGGAATTATCAAATTTGATAATTTCTTCCTTGAGAAAGAAAAGACCTAATAGGGACGATTGAAATAATGCAGTTAAAATTAATCTTGATGCCTAATTGTCATTGTGATTGGTTCCTTGAGAACTTTTGAGTTGATTTTGTTAATGATTTAAAGAAGTCAAACCGAGGCAGTGCTGTGCATGTTGCTGGATTAATCTGCCTTTGGCTATGATATGATGGTTTTTGTAACTCTTCTTAATTGAAACTGCAGCTCTTGATCGTCGTGTTAACTGTTTCAGGTTTATTTGAAATTGTTGTTTTTTTAGATTGGCTGCTTCTGATGGATGAAACCTTGTTTGACCATGCCTGGTAACTGATAGTAGTTGCTTAGTATGAAACTGTGGCATGGGTGGTGTTCACCCCTTTTTCCATGGGGAAGGTTTTTTTCTCCTCTCATAAGTTGAAGATGGTCTTAGAAGTGTCTATATTTTTTGGATATACCTTGATCTGTATTCATGGGATATCAAAGACCACCTACAGCAAGTGGGGTAGGGGGCCAAAAGGGGGTGGAGCTCAAGCTGTTTCACCTACGTTTACATTCTTGTTTTTCAAACTCCGTCTTATGTATGTATTAACTCTAACTGGTAAATGACAGTTGAAGTTGTTAAAAGCTTAGATCATTTTCAAGTTTATTACAAATTCTATCCTCAATTGCTGAGCAGAATGCCAAGCAAGCACATTTATAACAAAATATGCACTTTCAAGAGCATTTCAGTTTAATTTTGCTTTTGCTTTTGTCTGGGTTTGAGTGAAGTTCGAGTACTATTAGTGTATTTTCTGGCTCCAGAACAAGAATTTGAAATGCTTTTTGAACAAAAGACAGCAAATAATGATTCTGAACTCTCATCCTGCAGAGTTCCAGTAGTGAGTTTTTCCTTCTGAAAGCTGTACCAAGTTTACTGAAATGAGTTCCTGGTAATTAAGCCAATGCTCTGTCTGTCCTTGCTGACTGTTTTAAGGTTCACTTTGAGATGTACTAGAAGTGCTGACATCTCATTTTAGTTTTCTATGATAAAATGTGTGAATGAAAATATAATTTTGACGAGTTCTTAAATCTGCATTATTTACTTGTTTACTCAAAATAGTTCAACGTGTCACTTTATTTATGGCCTCATCAGATCAGCTAATTATGATAAGTCTTCTCTTATTGGATATTTCTTGAGATGATTCATCTTCCATGTTTATGCAAAAGCAGATAATATTAATTTTGAAGAATTTGGTTCACTTGTTTCAGTGTTAGCTCAATTATTTCTCCAAAACAACTATTTCTCTCTATTGCATGTGCTTAAATTGAGAAACTATATGGTCTAATTGTTGACAAGTTTTTTCTGTTCTATTCATCTACATTGGCTTTAAGTTGCCAAATTGAGACACTTTGTCCATATGTCAGCTTACACTGATAATTTTCTAGGCTNTCATCAGATCAGCTAATTATGATAAGTCTTCTCTTATTGGATATTTCTTGAGATGACTCATCTTCCATGTTTATGCAAAAGTAGGTAATGCTATGCGTGGGACAGGAGTGTAGAAAAAAACTTCATACTGCAGTTGAGAGGAAATATTATATTGTTTTAAAGCTGGGCATATTCGGGCAATAGATTTAGATTTCTTGCAAATTAGTACAGGTTATTCTGAAAGGTCCTCTTGTTTTGTATGAGCAAATCATTAAAACATTTCTCAAATACTTATTCATCGAGACTTCTGCCACTCGGAAGTCCTTATGGCCATGGAGAAAGCTTTATTAAAGTTAGGGAAGTTCTCGAAGTGCAGTACTCTCTGGGGAGTTGGTAGTGGCACCAAGTTACTAGTTAGTGGGATCTCCAGTTCATCCCAGGGTGTTCTCATGGAAACTAGAAGGATGCCCTTATCAGGGTGCAAGTGGCACACTGAATATTGAGATTGGGCTGTGATGTTCATGTATAGGTTAGGTAATGGATCTCAAAGGATTGAGACCCTTCTACTACTGCTGACGTGTGATAAATTCAGAGGCTGTTGGACACTGGAGGTAACTAGTGAGTCTGCTTGATGCTGGCATTCCTTACTCCTTTTGTTTTTCTCAAACTTGGCATCCTCAACTGAAGATGGTCGAGTTAAACATGGATGGGGATACCAATTCAGTGTGCAAATGACTAGAGACATGCGAATTCCAGAATTTCCAGTATGCGAGTCATGTGCCTAAGAGGGAGGCACATGGTTTAGCCAAGTATGCTGTTAGCCCAGAAGCTTTGCTTCTAAGTGTTAGACTTGGAGGGAGGAGTTTCCTCGTTGGCTCTGTTCAGTTTGCTTCTTTGTGAAAGGACCTCTTGGACACCCTTACTCTTTTAGCAGGAGAAGCTCCCAAGTATATAGGTAAGATGGTTCAATTGCTATTCCTATCATAAATCACTGGGTAGCTATGTGGTGTGCTGTTTAATATGGAATCCGGGTTTTCATGGACGACCCACTGCATTCAAAGATTTGAAGAGAATCAGATGTAGACAGCATTACACGCATGGGGAAGAGGTTGAGATTGAGATCATCTTTATTATTTTTTTACACAATTTCACTCGATAGTAGATCATTCATCGTGTATGGGTGAAGAGTCTACATATAAATAATGGGTCTCACATGAATATACGATAGATAATCTACTATTAAGTGAAATTATTTGAAAAAATAATGAAAAGTATCTCAATCCGGTCGTGTAGGTAGACTTAACCCAGGCTTTCATGATTCGGACAATTAGTTTCAACAATAATGTTGTTTTTTAATGTATCTCGCTAAACTTGAAATCGAGAGGAATCAGATTCTGTCCTCTCTTAGCAGGAGAAGCTCTTCAGCAATAGATAAGATTGTTCAATAAATTATGGGTAGCCAACGGCTATGAGGCGAACTATTCAATTGTTCACATACATCCTCAGTTAAAAGAATTCAGNGATAAGATTGTTCAATAAATTATGGGTAGCCAACGGCTATGAGGCGAACTATTCAATTGTTCACATACATTCTCAGTTAAAAGAATTCAGGATGCCCGAATATGACCTCAGGTATTGATACCTAGATAATCTAAGCTACATCATGAGGAGAAGTGACATTTCCGGGTCAGGTTAGATGTTTGGGTCAAGTTCCTTTATTTACAAGCTGGCTAGACGTATAAGAGATCGTTCACAACATCTTTTGCAAGTCTAGAGGATTATAATATATCTAAGAACAGGCCATAATATTACTTTAGCATATTTTAGAAGATTATGTTACACTTAGGAAATGTAATTTCTATAGACCCAATCATGTAATGATGACGTTAGACC